GGGGGCGCCCCGATGAGCCCAGAGTGCGAGGAGCCGCCGCCCCCCTGCGCAGGTGAGCGGGCCGCCCCGGGACCCTCCCCTCCCACGAGAGCCCCGCCCAGGCTCCCCTCGAGTTTCTTCACCCCGTCTTTTTCAGACTCTTCCCCTCCTACGTGGGAGCTCCTCTCTACCCCAGTCTCTTCTCCTCAGCCCCTCCGAGTCTCCTAGTCTCTTCTCCCAGCCCCCCGAGTCTCTTAGTCTCTACTCCCTCAGCCCCTCTCGTCTCTTAGTTTCCCCCTCAACCCCCCTCTCATCTCTTAGTCTCCCCCAGCCCCTTCGATTCTCCTGGTCTCTTCCCCTTCAGCCCACCCCTCCTTCCCCTTTCAGGCTCGTAGTGGCTTCCCCCTCTGACCCCCCCTTACCCCTAGGACTCCACCCCCACTCTCTTACTCCTCTGGCCGCCTCCCCAGGACACCCCTCACCCTCCCTGTCTCTGCCTTACCCCCTCCTTCCCGACGCCTGCATCGTAGACTCCACCACTTCTGTAACTGTCACCCTTGGGCTCAGGAGGCCAGAGTAGTGGGGCTTTCTCTTCACCCTGACCGGGGCTCTCCTGCCCCGCTGCCTCCGCTGTGAGGAGGATAGGGAGCCTAATGTGGAGCAGCCACCTCTCGGTCCCCCATCTGTGAGATGAGGTCGGCTGAGGGCAGGGTGGGGAGGCTGGTGCTGGGCACAGAGGGAGGGAGGGAGGGAGGCACCAGCCTCAGGCCCTGCCCTGGGGAGACAAAGGCAGAGCAGGACAGTCACAATTGCTGGTGTAATGATAGAGGTAACCCAGCGCGTTGCGAGAGGCCACAGAGTGGAGAGACTGGTGAGACTGGCTCAGCGGGTGGCTTTTTCTGTCTAGGAAGGATGAGTAGGAGTTGACAGATGGAGAGGGAAGAAGGGCCTTCCGGGTGGAAGGAACAGCACGTGCGAATATGTGAAGGTGGGAACCCAGGAGGAGTCTTACGGCCTGGAGTGCCGATGTGCTGGGAGGGAGGGGCGGGCTCCTTGGTGGGGCTGCTTGTCCAGGCCCTTGAACGCGACCTGGTTAGGGTCATTCTTGCTCACTGTCTCACACACCTGTACATCTGTGCTGAGGACACAGCCGTTACTAGTAACACCAGCCTGAAAGGCAGATGTTTCTGGAAAGGAAGATGTGTTGTCAGGTGTGGGACGGGCTTCAGAGTTGTAAAAACTTCGGCAGGGTGTAAGTGGCGCTGACAGCAGTGCTTTCCTCACAGGGAGGTCTGGGGATTCAGCGTGTAGACGTCTGCAGCAGAGGGCAGGGCACAGGAAGTACCTCAGGATCCTAGGCTTTTAGGGTTATTATTTGGTTTAGGATTATCTATTGCAGTGGTTTTCAGCAGGCCGCCCTGGGAGGGGGGGGGAGGTTGTATCCCCAGGGGACATTTACTAATGGTGGGAGACTTTTAGTTGTCACAGTTTGGGGGCTGCTACTGGCAGGCATCGAGGGGATGGAGGCCACGGGTGCTTCTCAGCGTCCTCCGATGCAGAGGACGGCCCCCCACAGTGGCCCACCGCAAGGGTGTTTTCCCGCCCCAGTTGTCAGCAGTACGGCGGTGGAAAAACCCTGCCCTCTTGCTTGGATGTTATGTATAGCTGTGGCTTACTTGTTCTGTTGCTACCTTGAGCAGCTCTGTGTTGTGAGCTGTGTGTTTTTATTTACTCTTGTGTTTTTGGTAGTTACTTTTGGTGGGATACCTCCTGTTTCTTTCCAGTAGGGGAGAATCTTACCCCCAGCCCACCCAGCCACCCACCCAGTGTTTTTTCAGGATCCATGGCCAAGTGACCTTAGCTGGTCACCTTCGCTTTGAGACTCCAGTTTTCATTAATTTGAGAAGTAGCTCTAGCAGTGGGCCTGACCTTATGCTACGTCCTGGGAAATTGGCATCTTGCTGCGGGAGGCAGGTGACCGAACAGGCAAGTCCTGTCACCGAGCGCTCAGATGCTGTCATAGTATGACCACGGAAGCTGTGGAAGTGTGGAGCAGGCCCCTCACGCAGTCAGGGGAGGCTTCCTGGAGGAAGTGGTGTCTTCTCTGAAGCCTGAAGGACCTAGAACGAGCTGGCTAGTCAGGCCCGAAGAGTTGGAGGGAAGGCAGAGGGAGCAGCAGAGCCAGGGCAGAGGCGAGGGCACAGAGGAGCGGTCAGGTGTGGCGGGAGTGTTGCATGCCATGTGGGTTGCAGCAAGAGATGAGGTGAGAGGCTGGACGCCTTGGTGAAAATGAGAAGCCTTCCCCATATCCCTGGGCTCCTTGCTCAGCTCACACCCTCCTTTCCAGGCTGAACCACCGTTTTGCCTCTGAACATCGGTTTTGTGGCTCTTCCAGAGGAAGTGCAGTCTTACAGTGACCGTGAGGTGTATCTCAGGAGAGAGACTGAGGCTCAGTGGGGTTAGGTCCCTGGTCTAAGGCCACAGAGATTGGAGTTTGGAGAGACAAGATTGGAACCCAGGCCCTTCTGACTTTGGATCACCCTGTAACACTCACACATCCCTCTGTTTTCCAAGGGCTGTTTCAAAATATATTCATTGCGTTTTTCCTTGTCCCCTTTGAACCTGTGACCAATCCAGGAGATGGCCCAGAATGTGAGCTTTCATGCCCCTCCTCAGTGCTTGGCTAGGTGTCCAGTTCTCTTCTGTTTCCTAATTACTCCATCCCCTGGGGTTGGACCAGAGCTGCCACCTCCCCTGGGAGAGTGTGGTCTGGGGTTAGAAGGGAAGCGGTGCCCCTAATTGCCCCCTGCCCTGCTTTCCCTAAAAGAGAAAGTCCCAGCCCCTCATATCTCGTGTGGCCTTGGCCAAGTCCCTCTCCTTCTCTGGCCTCAGTCACCCCTACTTCCGTACGGGTATCCTACCACTTACCTTGCTGGGTCTGTGTTGGGTTCTGCCATTACCATTGTCCCGTTCCTGGAATCGGAAGTCCCCTACCCCGCTTTTCAGATTTGGCTGAGAGCTGGCTGTGGCTTGCGGGGATTTAGAAGGCAGTGGTCTCGCTGTCCTCTGACCTGCTGGGTCCTGCAAGGGCTGGAGGCTGGCCAGCCAGCCAGCAGTGGGTTCTCCCCTCCTGGCCTGTGTCTCATTCAAGTGGCCTGTGGGCCTGTGGTGGCTGAGGGCAGCAGCGTCAGCAGGCCCTAGATGGCCTCTCCCAATGCTAGAACCCCTGCTGAGCCTAGGGCATCTCAGGTGGCCGCCCTGAGGCCCTCACAGAGGGCTCTGCACACTTGACCTCCACTTCCGGGTGCTTCAGGGCCAGGGAGGGCGAGGAAGGGGTGGCAGATAAAGGATCAGCCCACAGGCTCCCTCACAGGTGGGGAACAGATGGTGGCAGCAGCAGTGGCAGTGGGGATGCTCTGTGGGAGCTGCAGTTGGGCTCCATCTGAGCCTGGGCAGGGTCAGGGGCTGAAAGCCTCCTGAGGGGGGCAGTTGGTGTCAGAGGCCTGAGGACAATGCAGCAAAGCAAGAAACCCGAGGTGGTGGTGCAGAGCTGGCGGAGGGGGTGAAGGACGGGGCGATGGCGGGGCGGGTAGGTAGTTTTCGTTTTTAATGGCTTCCTTTCTCATTTAGTTTCCCCTTCTTCCGTTAGCAGCCAGAGTCATGGTTTTCAAACGGTCGCTAAAAACCAGTGGTAGTCACTTCCGTTTTCTTGAAGTTTGCTACCAGTTGCAAAGAGTGGGGGCAGCGGGGTGTGTGGCGCCCGCCAGAATATTTGAGTGAGCTCTCTTACTCAGGCAAAAGGGGCATCTTCCCTGGGTCTTCTGTTTTTAGCGCCATCACCCTGGGTGGTGGCTGCTCCTTCCCTCCTACTCAGAAGTGTCGGGGCTTCAGCCTGGCTTCAGGGACAGATAGGAAGGGCCGACCTTTGCTGAGCACCTGCTGTGTGAGGCCTATGGCCTGACCTGGCTGTTCTTACAACATGGCCCTTCCTTATGGCGGTGCTCCCATTTCACAGATGAGGAAGTGAGGCGTTGGGGTGCCACGTGCCCGCCCAGGTTCGCCCCCTAGAGACTGAGAATGAAACCCACCTCTCCTGTCTGGAAGTTCCGTTAAGTGGGAAGGTGGGACTGACTGCCGGGACTTGAGGCTACAGTGAGTTAAGAGTTTGTGGCAGGGAAGTATTCTCTTTCTCTTTTTTGTGTGTTTTCTTTTTTCCAGTTCTGCATCTGCATTTCATTCTGTGCAGAGCTCGAGAACTGATGTTTGTAGAACTGCCACTCAACTGCATCTGATCCTTGCAGCCTCCTCTGATTTTCCGAGGAGGGACCTGCGGTTCTGAGACGTTCAGGGGCTGCCTGGTTTCTGATGCCTCTGGAGTCCGCGCTCTGCAGGCCCCTCACACCCTGCTGCCTTGTGGCAGGGGCCCCCAGCCCTCCCCGCCACACTCAGTTCTCTGGCAAGCCAGCTTTGGGAGGGAAGCCTGACCTGCTGTCCAAGGCAGATGGGGGGGGTTGGGGTGGGGGTGCATAGCCTGTGCCCTCTATCCAGGTGCTTTGGAAGTGGGTGGGTAGGCCTCAACTGTGAGAGTTTCCTCCTGCAATCCGGAGGGCAGGGCACTGAGTCCCGTTGTGCTGTGGTCCGTCCCTGCAGGCCCCATGCCCTCCTCTGTCAAACGGGATTAATAGCAGTGCTGCACCTAGTCATGGGGCACCTGCTGAGCTCAGAGACCACGTGGGTGGTGAGGGCGGGGAGGGGGGACCTGGGCGTGCACCCAGGTTGGAGGGTTGGAGCCTGGCTGTTTGTCAGCTCGGGGTGTCTTGGAAGCAGAGCAAGGCCCAGGCCTGGCCCTGTCACAGCAGCCTCAGGCAGCTTTGGTTTTGTGTGTTTTTGGTAACGGTTTTCTGTTGATACATAATTCATATGCTGCGTACGACTCATCTATTTAAAGTGCACAGTTCAACAGTTTCTAGTCTGTTTTCAAAGTTGTGCAACCATCAGTCACGACAATGGGTTTTTTAAATTGAAGTATAATTGACAAATAAAATTGTATACAATTGATTTAAGAACTTCTTTTCCTTTTAGAGCATCGTCTTCCCGAAAGAAAACCCCACACCCACAAGCAGTCATTGCTCACCTTTCTGTTCCCCAGCTCCTGAAAACCATTAATCTGCTTTCTGTCTCTATGGATTTGCCCCTTCTGGACGCTTTGTGTAAATGGAAGTATGTGACATGTGGTCTTTGATGCCTGGCTTCGTTCACACTGCCAAGGCGGCCTTTTAAACTCTAATCTCCTTACTCATCCTTGCACGAAAGTGCGAAGTAGCAATAGGTGGTGGTCTCTGTGGGTCCAGGCAGCAGCTGCCTCTTGAGGTGACTCTGGTCCCAGGTCCACCCAGCTCAGGAAACCCGCCCAGGCCTGCTGTGGAACCTGGTGGCCGGTGAGTCACCTTCCATGAGCCATAGTTTTCTCACCTGTGGTGTGAGTCCTGTCACAGGCTCGTCATCAAGTGGAGAGGATGGTGGGAGGTCCCTCAGGGGCCTGGGATCTGGCAGAAGTGGGGAATTGCCCTTGTGCAGAGGAGGGTCTCTGGGCACTTGCAGAGTCGGGGTGGGTCTCATTTCCTTTTGGAGCAAGGGTCCTCAAACACAGGGACACACACTTAGCCCCTGGTTCCGTCCTCTCTCCTTCCTCCCCTCCCCACCCTACCCGGTGCCCCTGAGTGTGGCTGGGGGGAGCAGAGTGGGAGCGACTCCCTATACCGATGCCCTGACAGGTGTGTCAGCCTCCGGGTTCAGGGGCAGCGTCCTTGGGAAAGCATCATGGTTTGCAGATGGCAGGGGGTGTCTTCCACTTGACTTTGCTGAGCACACATGGCATGCCAGGCTATGTCCGAGGTGCTGTCCAGGGTGCTCAGCCCAGCAGGGAAGGTTCTCTGTGTTTTCCGTCGTCCCGCAGGGCACATGCGGCGTTAAGTGATGTACAGGCCTGAACACGTGTCCCATGGCTGGTGGGTAGAGCTGGGGCTGAGGGACTGCTCCAGCCCTTCTGGGAGATAAATGCTTGGCAGGAGACCCAGTTATTGGGACAGCCCAGCCGGGTAAGGCAGCAAGAGCGAAGTCTTGAGGGGAGCCCAGTCTTGATGTGTTCTGGAAACAGAAGAGAGGGCAGGGTGGTCAGAGCAGGTGAGGACTGTGTGTGAGGGAGGCGGGAGTAGCGGTCAGCCAGGGCGGGGCTTAGAGGTATTGTAAGCGGGCAGTGGGAAGCTGGGGAGGTCCTGAGCACAGACGAGATGGAGTCAGATTTTTCCTTTCAGCGAGCTCCATCTGGCTGCCTGTGGAACGGGGTGTAGAGAGGTGCAGGGAGGCTGGGAGAGACCGTGGGGCCTGGTTGGGGTGGTGGCCCTGCAGGTTGAGAGAAGATGTGGGTGTTAATTATGTTTTGGAGGGAGGGTCTCCAGTGCCGGGATCAGGATGGGGAGGATCCAGGGAAGCCCCTGGATTTCTGGTGGCCCCCCAAAAGCTGAATGTCACAGTCGGCAAGTGATGGGGGGGGTGTGTGGGTGGGGCATGGGCCCAACCTTCCTCCCTGAAGGCAGAGGCCTCTACTGAGTAAATGCTAGACTTGGAACCTGGTGTCCCGTTAAGGCCCCCAAGGGCCAGGAAGGAGCTGGCCTTCAGCTGCCTGGAGGTGTTGGCTGGTAAGAGCTGGGCTAGGGAAGGCTGTAGGCAGGGTGGAGCCAGCGCTGGCACAGACTTGGGCCTGAGCTCACCCCCTTGTTCTGTACGTACTTATTGCTGGTGGCTGGCCTCCAGTGAATGGGCCAAGGCCTCTGCACCCTTAGAAATTACCTTCTGGGGCTTGGGTGCCCACTCCACAGTTCACCAGCACCCAAACCTTGAGGCTGTCCATTTCTTCCTTGGGGCGGTCGTGAGAGTAGGAGGAGATAATGGGCTGAGAATGGTGTCAGGTGCAGTCAGCATGGTTTGTCCACCTTGTATGTCTGGCGTGTTGGCCATGGACTGGTCCCATTCCCACAGATCCAGGTGCCTGAATGACTGGTATGGTGCTGGGGCAGTGGTGTCACACAGGGCCTTCTTGGGGGCTGCAGGCTGTGAAGGAGATGCACCCCAAGATGGCAGTCCTGGGGTGACATGTGAGGAGCCAGGCCAGAGCTTCCGTGGGGAGAGGGTGGCAGCAGGGGAGGTGGCCTGGCCTCGGTCGACACATGGTGTCGGCAGGTGTGAGGGAGCCTGGTGCGCAGATTCAGGGAGAACTGTGAGTACTGGGGGGACAGGAGGTCCTGGGTGGATGGCAGCTGGGAGGCGGTCGGGGCCCTTGGGGCCTTGAGCTCGGAGCCATCTCAGGGCATCCTGGGGGAACAAACATGTTCAAGTTTGTGTTTCAGGAAAGCATCCTAAATGGGAGTGGACTGCAGGGCTAAGGGGGCAAGTCCCTGAGTGCTGTTGGACAGGACCCGTGAGACCTGTGGGACTGGGGGCTCTCAGGTGCCCCCATGTCTACTGCCTGCCTGGGGCCGGCGTTGGCTGCCATCTTCCAAGGTCACGGCTCCTCCACTCCATCTTCAACCATAGTCAGCCAGGGCTTAGGAATTGGCATGACTCTTGGCAGGATTGTTGCAGATTTAGAGCCACTTGTTCCTGGTCAGTGAGGAGTCACCCTGGGGGCAGGGAGGAGATAAGTGAGGCTCCTGAGGAAGCTGGAAGGGAGAGCTGGGTGCTGGCAGCATCTTGAAGGAACTGAGGGTCAGAAGACCAGTTGCCTGCCTGTAGCCACGTGTACCCTCCAGCTCCACCCTGGCTTTCAGCTCCAGCTGCTTCCTGAGTTGAGCATCTTTCTTCCCTGGGCTGGTGCCCCGTCTGTGGCTGGCGTGCTTTCCATGATTGGGATGCCTGGGGCAGGGCTTTGTAGGAGAGGGACTGGCACACAGGTCTGGGAGGTGCCCAGCAGGGGCACTGCGACCATTCAGTCTTGGCCTGTGCCTAAGGTGGTCTTCATGAGGCAGATGAGGAGTGTGAGCTGTAGTCAGCACCTGCGCGATGCTCGGGGGCCCCAGCTCACCTGCGTGTGGGTTGCCTGCCATATAGTGGGGTGATCACAGCCCCTCAGAGGGCCATAGGCACAGCGGACATGAGGAGTGGACGTCAAGTGGCCTGGGAGCTCGGGGCGGGTCTCCACTGTAGGGTTTAGGCTGGGGGCCTGTAGACCTCTACAGAGGAACGGCCCAGTCCATGCTCATCAGGGGCTTGGACCCACCTGGTTCCTAGTGAGTGCTCCCCCTGAGATGCTCCTAAGGCCAGGTGGGCCACAGCCGGCATGCAGGATCTCCAGTGCTGGCCAACGAGCTGCCATCTTCCAGGTAGAGGACACTGGCCTTGCTGTCCTCCCTGCTGAGGTGGTTCCCCATCCTGGTTGCTTTGGGCTCTGGTCAGTGGCTGTTATGGGAGCTGCCACCCCCTCCCTTTGAAGTTTTCCTCTTCCTGTCTTGGCACTGGGTATGGAGGTGCGTGTGCGTGCGTGCGTGCGTGCGTACGTGCGTGTTTGTAGTGTCCAGGCAACAGCCACAGACTTCTTTCCCTTTGCCACCGCCTTAACACCCTGCACACAGCATGGAGATTGCTCAGCTGGATGGCGTCTTAATTTGTTCAGTAAATAAGATTGAAGCGAGTCTGATGCCAGAGGTTCCAGGATGAACACAGTTCCAGCCCAGATATGGGGGCAGTGGACACAGGCCTTGTGGGGACAGGATTGTGGTGGCTCTGCACAGTGTCAGGCTGTTTTCTGTGGGCCCTGGGTGTGGTCACAGCCAGGGGTCTTCACCAGGCCTGGTGGGGGCTGCACAGTAGGCAGGATAGTCACCTGCAGGTTGGCCCTTGCAGGGTGTCCTGGTCATCTAGGTGACAGGTGCTGGGAGGTGGAGGGTAGCAGGTGCAGTCGGAGCCCATGTGTGACAGCCCCTACCTGCAGGGCGCCATGTTTTGGAAGTTTGACCTGCACACGAGCTCACACCTGGACACACTGCTGGAGCGGGATGACCTGAGCCTGCCGGAGCTGCTGGATGAGGAGGACGTGCTGCAGGAGTGCAAGGTTGTCAACCGCAAGCTGCTGGACTTCCTGCTGCAGCCTCCGCACCTGCAGGCCATGGTGGCCTGGGTCACCCAGGAGCCGCCGGCCAGCGGCGAGGAGCGGCTGCGCTACAAGTGAGCCTTGCCCTGTCGGTCCCCAGTGGTGGGACACCGTTTTTATTACAAGACATCCCAGATGTCTCCCAGGTGGAGGGATGGGCAGGGCAAACCTGAGTCCTCCCAGCCATGAACAGCATTTGGGCAGCCTGTGTCATTGGCCCACAGCCTACCTGCATTTTACTTCCCGAGGTTTTATTCAGTTGGATATTTGCTCTCTCTCTGGAATGTGGACAGCATGAGGCCTCTCCCACCCCACATCCCCAGTGTCCAGCAGGGTGCCAGGCTAGGGCATGTCCATGACTGCTGCTGCGGGCTCCTCTGCCCTTCAGTCCCACCCTAGGGTCCTCAGGTGTGCCAGGCAGGGAATTGTCTCCATAGCAGGGGGCTTCTGTCTGCCTGGGTCGCTACTGCCCTTGGGCCTTGCTCAGTCTGTCCTGGACAGTCCTTCCTGTCCACCTCCTGGTTCCCTGATGTTGCCCTCTGTCCAGCCCCTCACACTAAAGACATGCACGTGGTCCTCACGAGTGCTGCATCTTCTGTCCCCGAGGCCTTGAGCCAGACTGGGAGAGAGTGATTGCTCTGTCCCCCTTTGCCCTTTGTAAAGTAGAGGTTGGGTAAGGTGGTGCTAGCTGCTTAGTGTGGGGCCTGGTGCACAGTGGGGACCTCTGGTGGGGCTAGCAGAGTGTCCCCCATGCCTCCTGAGTTCCATCTTGTCAGTTTCCCAACCCCATGTGTGTCTTCTCCCTCCTTCGCTCTGTCCATCCAACCTTTCTGTCCCCCTGCCCACCAAACTAGAATGTCCAGTGGCCCCATGGACTGGGCTCTGGCTCACAGTAGCAGGGAGCTGCCATTCTGACATGTGTGCTGGGCTGCCCCTGGGGTCCCTATCTTGTTCCAAGGAACTCACTTTCCAGGGCCCCTACAGTTTATGGGGCCGACCTGGAGCATGTTATGGTCACCTGAGGCCCTGAGTGGTACACTGGGCAGAGCTGCCCTCTCCCTGTGTGAAGGTGTCTTGGGGATGAAGTTAGATCATACAGAGGTCACTGAGGCCTGACCTGGGACAGACTGGAAGGTCAGGGGTGGAAAGACAGGTGTTGGTAGAGGGTGGGCTCCAGGCTCAGGAGGCTGGATGCTGCCTTGGAGGGTGAGGAGCATGGGTGGGCTCCAACTGGGAGGCAGGGTCTTGGCCTCCGCCCCCACCATGCCCTCCCCAGCACTTTCTGGGTGTGACAGGTATCCCAGCGTGGCCTGCGAGATCCTGACATCAGATGTGCCCCAGATCAACGACGCCCTGGGTGCGGACGAATCCCTCCTGCACCGGCTCTATGGCTTCCTGCAGAGCAGTGGCAGCCTCAACCCGCTGCTGGCCAGCTTCTTCAGCAAGGTCATGGGCGTCCTCATCAACCGCAAGACGGACCAGGTGCCGGGGCCCTGGGATGGGCAGGTGGGCAGGCGTGCGCTTGGGGTCCTGCGCTGACGTGCCGGGTCCCTATGTCCTCAGCTTGTGTCCTTCCTGCGGAAGAAGGACGACTTTGTGGACCTGCTGCTGCAGCACATCGGCACCTCCGCCATCATGGACCTCCTGCTGCGGCTCCTCACCTGCGTGGAGCGGCCGCAGCTGAGGCAGGACGTGGTCAACGTGAGTGCTGGCTGCCTAGAGTGCAGGCTGGTGAGGCAGGGCCGGGGGCGGGGTGGCTGTGGGTGGGGTGAATGAGCACAGCCCCTCCTTCTCACCGCAGTGGCTGAACGAGGAGAAGATCATCCAGCGGCTCATTGAACAGATCCACCCGTCCAAGGACGACAATGTGAGTGCGGCCCAACCACCTGGTGTTCCCAGTCTCCTCCCTGCACCAACTTTGTCCACCCCCAACTCCCTCCTTAAACCAGGGGATGAGAACAGGGAGCCTTTGGAGCCATGTGTGTGGGGGGGCACCTGCTGAGAACAGAAAAGGGGTTTACACACATGGAACATTTCTCAGGAACCAGGAGCTTGGCCCCATCATTTGAGGGGTCTAGGGTCTGAAGAAGGTCCTCTGGCCTTGGCCCCTCACTGCTGCCCTTCCTGGGACACCCGCCCCCCATTCTCTCTGTTGCTGGCTCTGTGCCCTGGCAGCTCTTCCTGTCTTGCGCCTGGACCAGCCCTGCCTGTCCTTCAGAGAAACTACCCAGGGGCCTTGCACCTGTCCCCCAGCCCACCGGCTTTCAGAGTGGAGGGCTACAGGGGCAGGTAGTCAGCACCAGGCACCAGGTCAGTGCCTGGCCTGGGGAAGTGATGACTGTCCGGGCCTTTGTGGCCAAGGGACGAGGGGCATCTGCTGTGAGCCAGGCGGTGGGCACCTGTGAGGGGCTCTGCTATGCGACCCGTGGCCTGGCTGTGTCTGCGTGGATCGGGGGTGTGTGTTGGTGGGCCCTGGCAGCTGCCTGTTGGTGAGACTCAGAGCTCTGCTCCTGTTCCTCCTTGTATTTGTTCACTTTGCAACAACTATTTTGAGACATAAAATGAATACCATACAACTTACTGATTTTAAAACTCACCCATTAAAAAATCAGTGGCTTTTAGAGTATTCACAGGGTTATGCAGCCCTCACCGTGTCGATTTTAGAATCTTTTTCAGCACTCCAGAAAGGGAACCTTCTACCCATTAGGGTCTAGTCCCCCTTCCCCTCCCAGCCTCCAGCAACCACCAGGCTGCTTTCTGTCTTTGCCTCTTCTGGACATTTCATGTCAGTGGATCACGTGATGGAAGGTCTTCCGTGACTGGCGTCTTCGCCTTGGTACCAAGTTGTTTGTGTTCATCCAAGCTGTAGTGTCAGTGTTTCATACTTTTCTGAGGCTGAGAAATGTTTCGCTGTGTGGATAGACCACGGTTGCTTATCCGTTCTCCAGTTGCTGGACCCCTGGGTGGTTCCCCTCTTTCGCTACTGGGGATGGTGTGGGGTTTGTGTGGGTGTTTCCTTTTCCAGGAAGCCTTCCTTGGTTTCCCTTCCTTTCTGCTGTCTCTCCCTTTCCAGTGTTTAGTGCCTCGTGTTCTCTCTCTCGGCATTTGTGTCCCTGTGTCTCTGTGACTCTCTGTCCTCAAGAGCAGGTGCCCTTCAGCTTGTGGGACTTCCCGACTCCAGGGCTGGGCCGGGGTCCTCAGTTCTGTCTCCCTCCGCAGCAACATTCCAACGCATCCCAGTCCCTGTGCGACATTATCCGCCTGAGCCGGGAGCAGATGATCCAAGCACAGGACAGCCTGGAGCCTGACCAGCTATTGGCCACCCTGGAGAAGTGGGTCTGCGGGTGGTGCCCAGGGGTGGGGCGGGGAACAGTCCTGGGGGCCCTTCTCCCTGATGTCTGCCTGCCCCTGCCCTAGGCAGGAGACGATTGAGCAGCTCCTGAGCAACATGCTGGAGGGGGAGCAGAGCCAGTCCGTCATCGTGAGCGGGATCCAGGTGCTGCTGACGCTGCTGGAGCCCAGGAGGCCCAGGTGAGCTCTGCGACCCCTCGGAGCCCCGCTGTTCTGCTTAAGGGTTGAGGGTTGCAGGGATACAGCCTCCATGAGTGGTGTCTCCTTCCTGGTGGTCGCTAGGGTCCCAGAGTGGAGTCCTTCATTCCCGTCTGACAGTAGAGGTAACAGACTGAGTAGACTGCCTGTAGCTTCAAGCTGGCCTCTGGGATCCAGGCTCCCAAGGGGAGCAGCTTCTCACTACCTCCCAGGCGTGCTCCACACATGCACACGTGTGCACATGCACGTGCACAGGCCGGCTGGGCAGTTCACTCTGCCCTCCACTGTCCCTGCTGCAGGTCCGAGTCCGTGACCATGAACAACTTCTTCAGCAGTGTGGACGGGCAGCTGGAGCTCCTGGCCCAGGCAACTCTGGACAGCGCCTCGTCCAGTGTGGGAACCCTGCACGCCCTGCGTCCGCGGCTTGGCCACTTCCACCAGCTCCTGCTGGAGCCACCCAAGGTGGGCCAGGTGGGCAGGGGAAGGGTGGCAGGAAGGGCGGCCGCTTGGTCCGGGCAGCGCTGAGGCAGAAACTGAGCCACCTCTACTCCTGCAGCTTGAGCCGCTGCGCACGACGTGGGGCAGCCTGGCCCCGCCACTGGGCAACATGCGGCTACATGTGGTCAAGCTGCTGGCCAGCGCCCTGAGCGCTAATGACGCAGCTTTGACCCAGGAGCTCCTGGCACTGGACGTGCCCAACACCATGCTGGTACTGGAGGGGCCGGGGGTGGAGGAGGCGCCAAGCTGGGGGAGGGGATTAGGGGCAGGGGCCACTCAGAGCCAGCCTGTGCCCCTCATCCCAGGACCTCTTCTTCCACTACGTGTTCAACAACTTCTTGCATGCCCAAGTGGAGGTGTGTGTGAGTACGATGCTGAGCTCCGGGCCTCCTTCTGACAGCAGCTCTGACACACCTGCTCAGAACCCTGTTGTGAAACATGTGAGCTGGGGCTCCCGGGTCCCCCCTCAATCCCCAGGGGTGGGCTCTGCCCCAGGTCTGCCCCTCGCCTATTGTGCAGCCAGGCCATTCATGTGCTGGGGGCTGGGGGTCAGCCTTATCCTTGGGTCCTAGGAAAATAGAGGGTGACGTGCAGGAGGTGAGTGGACGTGGTGACTTCATGAGGCAGCAGGTGTCTTGGGGGACCAGGAAGCACGCTCCCAGGGTGATGGCCACTGTGCTATGGGGAGTGCCTCCTTGGACGGAGCCCAGGGCCTCTGGGCTCCTGTCCACTAGGCGTATTGTGTTTGGATAAGCGGGAGTGGGAGGCAGGCAGAGAAACTCTGGGCTTTGCTGTCCAGACTGAGGGGGTTTCTGGGTGAGCAGAGGAGGAGACGTGTGCACATGCGTGCTGTGCACTTCTCGCAGGGAAGAGGCTGGGGTGCAGAGCCGGGGGGCGGGGCGCAGCCTGGCCCACCCCCACCCTCACTGCTCACCCACAGCTGCTGCAGCGTTGCTGCCTGGTGGAGCGCATCCTGACATCCTGGGAGGAGAACGACCGCGTGCAGTGAGTGTCCCAGCTTTCCCAGGGGGCGGGGCAGGCGTGGTGGGCCTGTGTCCAGCTGTGGCCTCCCTCTTGCCAGGTCCGCCGGGGGCCCTCGGAAGGGCTACATGGGCCACCTGACGAGAGTGGCCAACGCCCTGGTGCAGAACTTGGAGAAGGGGCCCAACGCCGAGCAGCTGGGGCAGCTGCTGAAGGGTGAGGACTGGGGCTGGGGTGGGGCAGGGGCAGGTGGGGGCCAGGGCCTGTCGTCCTCACGGCTGCCCTGTCCCGCTGAGCAGAGCTGCCAGCAGAGCAGCAGGAGCGGTGGGAGGCCTTCGTGTCCGGACCCCTGGCGGAGACCAACAAGAAGAACACGGTGGATCTGGTGAGCCCACTGCGCCTGCGCTCACCCACGACAGCCCTCGCTGATTGTCTTCTTGGCCCAGCGCGGCTGCCCGAGTCGCTGACCCCCTGCCCGCCCTCTGTCCCAGGTGAACACGCACCACTTGCACTCCTCCAGCGACGATGAGGATGACAGGCTCAAGGAGTTCAGCTTCCCGGAGGAGGCGGTGCTGCAGCAGGTGGGGGCCCGGCCAGCCCTGCTCTACTCCCCCTCCCCCTGGCCCTGCTCTGCCCCCTCCCCCTGGCCCTGGCCCTGATGCGCCCCCACCCCCTGCAGGCTTTCATGGACTTCCAGATGCAGCGCATGACCTCAGCCTTCATCGACCACTTTGGCTTCAATGATGAGGAGTTTGGGGAGCAGGAGGAGAGCGTGAAGTGAGTGTGCCCCCTCCATGTGCAAGGCCATCGACAGGCAGGGCTGGCGGGGAGAGGGCGGAGGGCGGGAGGCTCCCTGCAATGTGCTCCCCTGCTGCCCTTCGTGCGTGCTCCCTGCTGCCCAGCCTTGGGCCTCGTCTCAACTGCCTGGCTTTTTGAGGAGAGGGCTGTGGGGAGGTGTGTAGGGCACGGGGCAGCTGTGCGGACAGGGGCTGCACAGAGCCACAGCCCCCAGTCACAGTGGGTCTGCCCCTCCCCTCCAGACGCCTTAGGGTGATGGGTGGGGTGTTTTTATCCAGTGACCAATCCTGATTATGTATTGTACAAAGCTTTGATACTGATTATCTCTGACTTTGCTGTCATGAACTGTTTTTATTGTCTCAATTTTCTGCCGCAGACATCTGAGGAAACTATAATTTTTAGTGTTTTGTAAGTTTCATGAGCAGCCTTGTGGCAGCAACAGGTAGAAGTGAAGGGAAGGGCTGGTGGTGTGTGAGTCTGTGGGAAGCCCTGGGCAGGGTGGGAGCAGAGCAGCCCGTGGACGCGTGTTGGGCCCCGGGCATGCTCTGTGAGTAGCACAGCCAGTGCTGTCAGAGCGGAGGAGGGTATATTACTGTGAGGGTGAGTCCATGACACCTGAGGGAAAGTGGAACAGCCACCAGGGGGCATGCTGTGGAGGCAGTCCTGAGTTTGGGTGGTGACAGAGAAAGGCCTGGCGGGCCCCTCGGGCTACACGTGGGGGCCAGGCAGCTGGCCTTGTCCGTGTTGTCAGTTTGGTCACAGGTACCTCTGGGTGTTACCCAGTTACATGCTGTGACCACCCACTTGGGGCTCAGGAACCCATCTATAGCTAGGGAGACAGTCTCAGCGCTGTCACACAGCCCAGGGCACTCGCTGGTCACTGTGGGAGGGTCAGCTGTGGTCTGTGGTAGCCACAGTCAGACCGAGGACCCCTGGGATGAAGAGCTGAGGATGCAGCGTCTGCTGTTGCTCTGCCTGGCACGGTGTGCGGCGCTAGGGGCACTGGAGAAGACACTGTCCAGGGAAGGCACCCCCCGTCCTGGGGGGACAGAGACACTTAGTGAATGGCCTTGGTGTGGCTGGCTGCCCTTTGGGGATGAAATTGTGTTACCTCTTCTGTCAAGATAAATTCCAGTGAGGTTGAAAACGTTAAATGTGAAAAAAAAATCCGAGCTACAGACTTGAAGCCTTCTAGAGGGCAAAGTGGGTGAACGTCTTCATAATCTCAGGGCTGAAGGTGCTACCAAGGCTGCCTGCTCCGCCCGGCCCGCTGTGCCCGCGGGCTGCCCCCTCTCCCGTGACAGGGGCAAGAGTGCCTGCCTTTCTGGTGGGTGTGCGTCCGGCTCGTGCTTGGACCACAGCTTTGACGAGTCAGCACTTGGGAATTGTTAACCAACTTCCGGAGTCGGCGAGACAAGTGATAGCCTGGGATAGTCCTGAGGCGGGCCCGGGACGCCAGGTGCTCTTTCCACAGAACGGGAGGAGGAGGATGCCCCAGGAGAAACGGGGTGAAGTTGCAAACAAAACGAGTAGGAGGCTGTTAACGTTGCATCTTCTGTGGGTGGGAGTTTGAATTGACAGATCTCTTTCCACAATTTGTGTCAATATTTAACATGCGTGGATTTAATTCCACTTCTGTGAGGCTTTCTGAAAGAACTGAGCGGTGTAGGCGGATGCTGACACTGAAAGGCCTGAGGTTAGAGATGAGGAGACGGTGCTTCTACCACCCATGCGTCTTAGGGTCCACACAGGAGCGGTTTTATTTCAGCTCCAGACTGACCCTCTTGGGGTCAGGCGTGTGCTTTGTGTGGTGTGACCCGTGTCAGGCTGTGTCCAGTAAAGTCACTGAACACTGAGCTGTCACCCGGGAGGGAGTGTGTGCCTGTAAATAAATGTCCCGCCCAGGTTATGATCTCAGACCCTAAAAACAACCCATCTGTCTGGGTTCTGTGTCCTTTATTTTACAGCAGAGAAAACAGGTTCAGGGGCCTTTGTGTGGGACCTCGCGCGGCTGGGGCCGTGCAGGTCAGGCAACTCGCTGCTCTCCACTCTGCACGCATGCATGCCGCGGAGCGAGCTGCAAGGGCTGATTGGGGTTGCAGATCGGTTTTATTGAGGAGATGTACTCGCAGGCACAGGGCCGAGCCGGTGGCGTCCAGCGAGGGGAGGGCGGCGGCAGCCCCTCACTGCCCCGTGCTTCTCCCGCAGCGCGCCTTTTGACAAGACAGCCAACATCACCTTCTCCCTCAACGCCGACGACGACAACGTGAGTGCCTCCCCGACCCCGGATGCTGGCAGGGGCTGCGGGCGGTCAGCGCCTCACCCTCCTGCCCCTGCCCGCAGCCCAACGCCAACCTCCTGGAGATATGCTACAAGGACCGGATCCAGCAGTTCGATGATGACGAGGACGAGGAGGACGAGGAGGAAGGCCAGGGCTCTGGGGAGTCCGACGGGGAGGATGGCACCTGGCAGGGCAGCCAGCTGGCCAGGGGGGCCCGCCTGGGCCAGCCCCCAGGCGTGCGGTGAGTCCTCTCCGGAACCCCAAGCCTGTCGCAGCGAGGCTGCAGGGCCCATGGGAAGTGGTCTCCACCAGCTAGGGGGAATTAGAGTGTTGTGTGTGCTAGTTGGGGTGCTTTCAGTTTGGAGTGATAGAAACCCAACCCACATTGAGTTCAGCTACGAAACGAATAGGCTAATGGCTTGTGTGTGGCTGCAACTATAGGCAGGTCCTTCAGGTACAGCTTGGTCCAAGTGTGCTTGGAACCAGTATCCCCACCCCCCCAACCCTTCCCTCACTCTGCTCTCCCCTGCGGTAGCTCTCACCTAGGTGTTCCAAAAAGGGTGGTGAGGTGTGCTGTCAGCTCTCTTCCCCCTCATTCTGGTGAAGTGAGAGAGGATGGTTGTCCCTCCCTCAGTCCCAGCACGCGGGTCAGTAATCAGTACTTTATTTTCAACTCGTACTGGCTGGCCCCAGAGTCACTCAATGCACTCAGGCAGCAAAGACTTGCCAGTGTGAATACCGACTCAGGGCCTGCAACTTGACCCCCGTGGCTTCTGATCTGAGGATTAGAGTGATCTTAATTGATGTGTGACCAGCATACAGACAAGTATACGAATCCTAAGTGTCCGGCCACGTGGACACCCCTTTGCCGACGTCCAGAGAAGGGAGTGGAACCATCCTTGTACCCGGATGCCCCTCCTGGCCTCTGGCGTTTCTAAGGGGAACACTGTCCTGACCTCTTGTCCTGTAGATTTTGCCTTTTTTTCTTCTGTGTGTGATGTCCATACCTCTGGTGGGTGTGGTGGTTTGTCATTGTCATCTGCTGGGTGTGTCATTGTGTGACTGCCAAGTTGATTTGCACTTAAGTGTGTCATTGAGAAGTCGAAGGTCCTGATTCATCCGTGTTTCCTTCTGAGAGTTTTATAGCGTCAGCTCTTAACATTTCGGTTTTCCATCCACCTTGGGCTGGTTTCTTGTATGTGGTGTGAGGTAGGGGGCCAGCCTCATTCATTTGTGTGCAGGAATGCCAGTGTCCCAGCATCACCTGGTGAAGACTCCCCACTGCATGGTCTTGGCACCTTTGTCAAAAATCTTTCGACTGTAGGTGCAAAGGTTTATTGTGTGTCTGTCCGTAGCGGGGCTACCCTGTCTTGATTACTGTTACGTTGTAGTGAGTTCTGAAATTGGAAATGTGAGCGTCCCCAGCTTTGTTCTTTTTCAAGTCGTATTGATCATTTGGGGTCCTTTGAGATTCAGGGTGAATTTTAGAATGAGTTTATCCTTCAGTGAAGACACCAGCTGGGATTCTGAGAGGGACTGCCTTGAATCTATAGGTCTGTTTGCGGAGTGTTGCCATTTTAACAATATTTCACCTCCCAGCTGCTAAATAGAGGATGTGTTTCTTTATTACTTTTAATGGTGTTTTGTGGTTTTCAGAGTGTAAGTTTTCTGCTGCTTTTGTTAAATTTATTCCTAAGCGTTTTGTTCTTTCTGATGCAATTCCGTGTGAAATTGTCCTGTCAAAGTCGTTTTGAAATTGTCTCAAGTGTATAAAAATACAGTAGCCTTTTGTATGTTGATCTTGTTTCCTGCATCCTTGCAAAATTTGCTTGTTCTAACAGTTTTAGAGGATTCATTAGGTTTCTGTGTACAAAATCACACTTTCTACAATTAGAGATAGTTTTGCTTTCTCCTGTCCAAGCAGGAGGAGCAGGCCCCTGAGTTATGTTCCTGATCTGGGGGACATCGGGTCTCCCCCATTGAGTGTGGCATGGCTGGCGGGTTCTGGAGATACCCTCCCAGGTTTCCAGGCTCAAGAATCTCCCTCTGCCCCATCTGCTGAGTGTCTAGCTTGCTTTCACTGTGTGCAGACGAGCCGCTTCTGGTCCTGGCTGCTGGGGACTGTGGAGCCGCAGCGTGCGTTCAGCATCTTGGGAACCTCCAAGTTTGCTTAGCGGTTCCCCGTCAGATGCGTAGGCTGGCCAGGCCTTCTCCATTGTCTCAAGTCGCCAGCACTCGGCCGTTTTGTTTGGAGCAGCTGTGCTGCAGGACATTGCTTTCAGCCGAAGAAATGGCAGTGATGAAAGTCCACCTGAGTCTGTCGTGGAGGAGGAGCGCAGAATCAGCCTTCCCTGAGAGGGCCGGCCGCTCCTGCCAAGGGCTGTGTGGGCCTCTCCGCCCTTGTGCTGGTGGCCTCGCTCTCCCACAAGGGCGCTCGGGTTCCCACCTGCCTTCCCATATTGGGAGTGGGACTCTCTAGGCATCTTCGCACACCCGGGGCACAGTCCCATGGCCTCTCCACTGCTCCCTCCCCTCCACCCCTTTGATTCCCTCAAGACCTTTGCTTGAGGCCAGCCCTGGGGGTTCAGGAGGATGGGATGGGAGCATTCCCCCTGCCCAGCACAGTGGCTGGCTGACTGACCGCCGGTTCCTGGGGCAGGAGCAGAGGCAGCACAGACAGTGAGGAGGAAGAGGACGACGATGAGGAGGAGGACGAGGAGGATGGTGATGGCCGGGCGGCTCGTGGTGGGGCCGGGCCCCCCTCCTACCCCAGCCCTGGCCCCCAGCCTCCGGGTGGGTGAATACGCAGGGTGGGGCGTGGTTGGGTGCACACAGGCTGCCTGCCTGCTGTGCTCACCGCTCCCTGCTCTCCCCTGCCAGGCCCCGGTTGGACAGCCACATTTGACCCAGTGCCTATGGATGCCCCGACCGGCCCCCAAAACTGCAGGGAGAAGGAGCCACATTCTGGGCCCCCCGCCCCACAGGGCGCCCACGGCATGCCCCTGGACCTCCCTGCCTCGAGCCCAGCTGGCCCTGTGGCCCCCAGTGCCCTGCAGCTCAGGTGAGGCTGGCGAGGAAGGTGGACTCCTGGGTCCTTGTTGCCTTAGGCCCCAGTACCAACCCCATCCGCCCTCGGGCTTCTGCTCTTACCTGCTAGGTCTCAGGACCCCGCCCCTCCCCCAGCACCTCAGGAAGCCACAGACGGCAGCAAAGTAGCGGAGCCCTTGGGTGAGCCCCCCCGCCCCCCTGCCCTTGTGCCCTGGCCTGGTCCATAACTGTCCTGAGGAGCATGGTTGGCCTCAAGCTCACTGAGTCTCACATCTCTGGGCCCTTCTTCTCTGCACAGCCCCTTGCCAGGCCTTGATCAGTGTCGGGGACCTCCAGGCCACCCTCAGAGGGACACACTCCGTCCCCAGCTCCTTGGACAGGTAACTGGCTGGGAGTAGCTGCTGGGGGCCACGTAGGGGAGGTGGGTAGAGCCTGGCCCCTGGGTGCTCCCTGTCTCAGGGCCACTCCACGTGGCTCCTGCAGGACGCCCCACCCCTCATCTGCGCCACTGCCCCAGAGCCTGAAGGCAGCTGGAGGTCTAGGGCTGCGCCTGTGCTCACACTGGTCACCAGAGAGGATCGTGGGTGGGAGGGCTTCCAGCAGGGTCAGAAGAGGGCAGGGCATGTGTGGAGTCTGTGTGTGTCCCAGCTGACCTTGACACAGGGTTCTCTGAATATGAGAGATGCCCTCGAGCTGTGCAAGTCCTTCCCTGGCTCACACACCTGGGCCTAAGGGTGACTGCAGGGCGTCGGGGACAGTAGGTAACCTTCAGATGCCTCCACAGTGCAACCAGAGACCCTGCTACCTCTGTCCCAGCCTCCGGGGCCCACCAGTCCCCCCAGACCACAGGTGGGGAGAAGAGCCCAGAGCCCTTGGGGCTCCCCCGAAGCCAGAGGTGAGTGTGGTGCAACGTCACGGGGCAGCTGGTGTTCAGTGGGGGAGGCACTGACTTTTCCCGTGTCCCTCTCCCCCAGCAGTGCCCTGGCCCTTGAGCCGCTCTTGATGCCCAACGGCTCTGCCCCAGGAGGGCCGGCGTCCCCGGGCTCCCAGTGAGTGGTGGGGGCCAGGGGCGGCGGGTGGGCTGGGCCTGGGTGGGCCGGGGCTTTGGGCTCCTCACACAGGTCTCCCTCTCGGTTCCCAGGTAACTGCCTGGTTCCGGTGGTGGCGGCCAAATCCTCCATACTCCACGTGGACCCTGCCTGGGTGGGGGCAGGGCAGATCTCATGATGGCCCTGATGCCCCATCACCCCATCCCCACCCCACCCACTCTATGCCCTCTCTGGACTCCCGGGAGGCTGGTGCCAGGGAGACAGACCCCGATCCACCCCCATTTGCACTGAGAAAAGAAATTTCGGAGTTTTGTCTCCTAGAATAAAGATAGAGTTGAATAGAGAGGAGAGTTGAAGGAGAAAGAGACCTATATTATATATTATATATATATATTGAGGGAGGAGAGAGTGGGCGGCCAGAGAGCCAGAGGAAGCAGGGCTGGGCGGGTGGCAGCTTGGACCTGCACCCTGTCCCACTGGGACTGCTGTGGTGGGGGTCCTGAGGTTGCCACCACCCTACCCTCCTGCCGTGCCCCCCACCCTCCGGTGCAGACGCCCACACCCACACTCGGCCTTTCAGCTCAGGTCCACCTTGGGGGAGGGCCCGAGTGGGGGTCGTGCCTTTGCCCAAACCCTCTCACCCTGGACCCTGCACTTTGACCCAGGCTGGGAGCTAAAAGACCCTCCACCCGGCCCAGCCAGCTCTGTGGGACCCCGGGGCCCTGGTCCCAGGGGCCTCCCCGGTGACATTCCCACAGGGCCCTGATGCAGTTGCCGAGCCCCACCCCCCCATCTCCTATAGTCCCTGGGGCGGGGCTTCGGCGGGGGTCTGGCTGGGGTCCCCCTCCTACTCCTGAGGGTCTGGGGTCCAGCCCAGCTGCCAAGTGACCTTGTCCCAGCTCCCTCTCCCCAGGCTGGCGTGAGTGTGTGTGTGTTCGTGCTGAGCTTCTGTTTCATATTGCAAATATAAACAAATAAAAGAAGACAGTTTAAGACTCCTGCTGCTCAGACCTTGGGCCCTGGGATGTGGGTTCAAGGAGCCCGAGACATTCCTGCACCACTGGATTGGGGCCTTTGGAGCGTGGAATTAGGGCCTTTAGCCTCTGCACTGCTGGAGGGGTAACTTCTGCTCACACCTGGAAGGGTTTCCTGGAGGAGGAGCTAAGCACTGCGCAGCCTCATGCGAGACTGATTCTGGCGAGCCCACCCATGTCCACACACGCGGGACCTGGGATTTGGCGAGTGAGCTTCCAACCAGTCCCCTTTCTCACCCGCACAACCTCCCCGGCCATGCTGCAGAAGCCACGTCCCCTGAGCCCTTTCTCCTTGGTGGAACAGTGGTGGCTGGGGCAGCCAATGAGCCAGACAGGCGGGTGCCCAGTGTTCTGTGCCCGCCAAGGGGAAGATATAGAACACATGGCTGGATGTGCCTGGGAGCCTTCCCCGGAGCCGGGGGCGGGCATGGACGACAACCTCCTTGTCCAGCTCCTGTTTGTTCAGTGAGCGTTGGTGGTGGAGGCACTGAGGCGGGTGCAGGGTGGTATGGGCTCGGGAAGACCAGGCTGGGGCACAGCAAGGTGGGGAGAGTCTCCGACCTGTCTCTTGGTTCTGGAGGGGTGGTCCTCCCCTCCCCCTTGCTCATGAAGGGGAGGACATTGGAATCCTGCACCCCTTTCCCTTTTGGCCAACCAGGTAAAGGACAATGGGAGGGGCATTTGCGGCCATGGACCCCCAGGCAGGGAGGAAGCCAGGGGGAAACCAGGCTGTGGAGGAGGAAAGATCCCTGGGTCCCAGTGGGCTCCTTATCAGCAGGTGCCAGGCAGGGCCCATCCCCAGGGTGGGGACAGCATCTCCCTGGGCCCTGTTACTAGTCTCAGAGTCCACAGGACACAACTCTGGTTAATGTGTAACCACATGCTGTCCCCTCTACACCCGAAAGCTCTGGTGCCCACATGCAGGCCACTCTAGGTCTAGGCCGACATGGATGCCCGGAAAGAGGGGCCACCCCGAAAACCTTGCTTCTCAGCTCAAGTGAGAGCCATTGAGGGGGTTGAGGGTGGGCTGGGCCTGGGCTCCAGGAATCCAAGTGACCTGGAGAAAGGGGGGGACTGGGTTCTGTGAGGCAGACATCCTGGTGCCTGTGCAGCCGCTCCCTACCCTGGACAGCAGTCTGGGTCCCTGGATAGGGCTAGGGTGGAAGCTCAGCTCCTGGCTGGGTGGGGCGTGGTCCCGGGGGCTGGGGGCTGGGCTGAGCTCCCGAGGCTCAGCGGCCCCCTCGTCCCCTGGAGCAGCCGCATGTGGTCAGGTGGCTGAGCCCCTTCTTCCTCACCTGTGCCGTGTACTTCCTCCTCTGGATCCCTGAGGACCAGCCATCCTGGGTCGGCGCCCTGGTCAAGTGCCTGCCCATCCTTTCCCTGGTGGTGTTCCTGTGGACTGTACCCTCCGGCGGGGGCCACCACTTTCTCCTGCAGGGGGCCCTTCTGTGCTCAGCCGTGGGGGACGCCTGCCTCATCTGGCCTGAGGGCTTCCTCCACGGTGAGTGGGGGTGTGTCGGGGCTGTGTCGTGTCGTCCTTTTCAGACCCCAGGCTGGGGGGTGAGAGGTGGCTCCCTAGTAGAGCACCTGCCGGGTGTGTGAGCAAAGGCACTGGGGAACAGCAGTGAGGGAGACGCACCCAAACCCCAGCCCCCACGGAGCTCTCCTTCCGCTGAGGGCAGGGGCAGTGTGAGTGCCGTGGAGGGAGAACGCAGAGGGCACCCAGGGGTCAGGGTCACGGTCTCCAGAAGGCTGGTCAAAGCCACATGCCCTTTGTTCCAGGGAAGAACCTTCCAGGCAGAGTGACCAGCAAGTGCAAAGGCCCTGGGCTGGGAGTGTGCCTGGTGGGTGGAGCTGATGGGAGTTGGTGGACACTTCTGAGCAGAGTAAGGACAGGATGCAGGTTGCACTGCAAAGTTGTTCTGAAGCCAAGGGCAGGAAGAAGGGGGACCACCAAGGAGGCTGGCACTGTCATCCCAGCAGCGTGGCCATCGTGGCCAGGGCGGGAACTGGTGTGTAGGATGCCCTTTCTGTCAAGCTCTGAGGGCAGTAGGGTGGTGTGGGGAAGCAGAGGACCCGGCACCTTACTGGGTGCTCCCACCTGTCTCCTCCAGGCATGGCTGCCTTCACCGTGGCCCACCTGCTCTACCTCTGGGCCTTCGGCCTCACTCCCCTGCAGCCCGGCCTCCTGCTGCGTATCGTCCTGGCTTGCATCCTGTGTTACTGCCTCCTGCTTTGGCACCTCCCACCCAACATGGTCCTGCCCGTGATGGCTTACTCCCTGGTCCTGTCCGCCATGCTGTGGCGTGGCCTGGCCAGGGGCGGTAGTGCCAGCTGGGGTGCCCTGCTCTTCGTGCTTTCGGATGTTGTGCTGGCTTGGAACACCTTTGCCCAGCCCCTGCCCCATGCCCGCCTGGTGATCATGACCACCTACTATGCCGCCCAGATGCTCATCACCCTGTCAGTCTTCCAGGGCCCCAGGCTCAAGTCCACCTGACTGGGGGCCAAGACAGGCAAGTGTCCGCACCCTCCCCTCCTCCAAGGACCTGGGCCCCCAAGACCAGCGAGGCCAGGGAAACACCCTTGGGGGCAAGAGCCAGGCCTGCAGACTCCTGTCTGCGGTACTGGTCTCTGGAGACACATGGGAACCGTTGGCAGAAATTCAGATGCACCACCGAGTTCCCACTCAGTTCTGATTCCAGATTCCAGGCCCCTCAATCAGATCTACACTGGACCGTCCTCGGCCTCCCGCTTGCCTCTGTGATCCCAATGTGCCTCCCCTTCCTTCTGGCCTGGATCTCTTTCTCTTGCCTAAGTAAAGCGGGCATTGAAGCTATGACATCTGTGTGATTTGGGGAAGGGCGTGAGGGGAGGGAGGATCACAATAACAGCAAATTGTTCTTTTCCCTTTTTTGCCCACAAAATTGACCGTTTCAATCACTTCTAAGTGTACGGTTCAGTGGCATTAAGTACTTTCACAGTGTTGTGGATTGAACACTTGCCATGAAATCTACACTCGGAACACGTTTGCTGTGCGGTGTTGTTACCTATACCTACAGCAGACCCCCTGTGGACCAGTCCTGGTGCCAGGGCTTAGGGGACATGGAAGTGCCCCCTCCCCCCACAGGGCCCTTTGACGATGGGGGGATTCATTATACCCATTGGACAGGTGAGAATTTTACAGACTGAGACCAGGAGGAGACTGGTCAATATGTTAGTTTCCTATGACTGCAAATTACTCTAAACTGGATGGTTTAAAACAACAGCAATTTGTTCTGTCACAGTTCTGGAGGCCCAGAAGTCCAAAATCAAGGTGTTGTCAGGCTGTCCTCCCTCCAAGGCTCCAGGGAGGGTCCTTCCAGCCTCTTCCAGCTCCTGACGGCCCTAGCCAGCCCTGGAGCGCTTTCGTTTCACATGGCATCCTCTCCCTCTGTGAGTCTGTCCTCTCCTAAGGACACCAGTTGGATTCAGGGTCCACCCTAAATCCGGGATAATCTCATTTTGAGATCCTGAACTTAATTACATCTCCAAAGACTCTGTTTCTAATTAACATCACGTCCATAGGTAGTAGGCCCTGACTTGGGCCCGTCTCTTCGGGGGACACAGTTCAGTGCACTACAGTCACATGCAGTATCAGAAGAGAGAGTTGAGGAGGTGAGGAAACTCAAAGATGAGGGGAGCTTGGAGGAAGGGGTAGGTAACCACATGGTGGGAATAGAGTACCAAGGGAGGAAGAAGCCGAGTGTGGCAGCTCACTGCCCCTCTCGGCCTCAGGTTCAGCATGTGAGGGCAGGAAGCAGTCAGAGCTGCTCTCCAAACCCTGCTCAATTTCCACATCCATGATGTGTTTTTAAAAGAACCCTTACAGCAGAGAGGAGACTTCTATGTCTATGATGTGCTTTTAAAAGGGCCTCATAGCAGAGAGGAGTCTTCTACATTCACGATGTGCTTTTAGGGAGCCTTCAAGCTCACCCTTTTTTAGTTGCTGCCCCATCTTCAGACCAGGATCCCCACTCACCCTAGAGGAAGGTCTCAGCCCAGATGAGGCAGGTGATCAGGGTGGGGTGCCCTGCTCTTCACAATCTCAGATACCATGTTGTCCTGGGATGCCTTCCTTCAGCCCCAAACCCAACTGGCGGTGATCACCGCCTCCTGCGCTGCCCAGGTCCTCATCACTCTCATCCATTAAGGGTGCAAGGCTCAGGATAGATTAACTGGGGTGGGGGGGGTAAATGAGTGAGCACCCTTCCCCCTCCTAAAGGGCTCCCCAGAACAACCTCCCACCCCTAGGGAAAAGTACTGAGGTGTGATATTTCCAGCCACTATCTCTTGAGCACCACGTTCTGTTGTTGTTTTTTTTAATTGAGATGTGATCGACACATAACATTGTGTAAGTTTAAGGGGTACTAGTGTTGATTTGATACATCAATACACCTCAGTATGATTACCCCCTTAGTCTTAGCTGACACCCCTATTGCATCACAAAATTACCTTTTTTATTTGTGGTGGGACCAATTCAGATCTAGCCTTTTAGCAGTTTGAAGTTTCTAGTATAATATTGTCGACTATAATCACTTATACTGTGACCATGTTCTGCTCAAAGGCATTTATGTCCGATTCCTGGAGAAAAAAATGTTACGATCGCAGCTTTACAGACATATACTTCATATACCAACTGCCCATTTAAAGTGTGCTGTCAGGTTTTCAGTATGTTCGTAGTCATGCCCCTATCATAACGACCTTAGAACATTTACATCATCCCAAAAGAGACCTCGTAACTTTTAGCTGTTGCCTCCCCAGTCACCCATCCCCTTCAGCCCAAGGCCACCACCAGCTTAGTTCATCTTTAAACGTTGGCGTGATCAATCATTTGGGTGGTTACCAGATGTTTCACAATGATAAATGATTATGACTCTGCGCTCAGTTCCAGTATGGGGCTCTCTCCGCACACCACCAAGCGAATCTCCAGCACCACCAGCTGGGCATCCTACAATTCAACTCAATCCTGACATTATCCCACAGGTTCAGGACTCATTCCCACAGGGCTTCCCCTTTCCCCTCTGTCTCCACACGTTCACCCACCCAGCAGGCCGAGCATAAACTGAAACCAGTCTGGGTCTGGGTGACCTGACCCCTAGTTCAGGGTCACTCCAGTTTCATTTCCACATGGAGTTCTGGCCTTTCCAATGCAAGTCTTTATTTTTTTTAAACATGTAGTCTTTTTTTAATTTATTTTTTGGGGAGGTAATTAAGTTTATTTCTTATTGGAGGTACTGGGGATTGAACCCAGGATGTCATACATGCTAAGCAGGCTGTACCACTGAGCTATACCCTTTTCATCCGTACCACCACCCCACACCATGCAAATTCTTCACCTGACCAAATCCTGCTGTTGTGCTCAGACTCACCCTGAGGTCACCTCCCCCTCAGGGACAGAGGCGTCCTGTGTGTCACACTGTGGTTAACTTCCCAGTCTGTCTCACCGCACCGCGAGCTCGGCCAGGCCTGGAAGAATCCGTTTGCCCTTGGAGTCCCTGGGGCTCATTCAGTCTGCGGTCCGGCCTGCAGGAAGCTGCGGGTGTTGGGTGAATACACCTGCAGGGAATGGCTTCAAGAGAATGAGCAGATATGCTTCAGTTCTTGAACCACACAGGGAGAGGAAAGCATGGGGCAGAGGGACCGACTGACAGCCACAGGACAACAAAAGTGGTGAGGAGCTCCTGGGAATACTGACGGGGTCACAAATGGGTGGTGGAGGGAGACAGGGTTGGCGGCTGGGCCTGGCTGCAGAGGGGATAGCCATGGAGTCTGTAAGAAAGAGAGTTTGGCTCTTCCTGCGGGTAGACCACACAGAACTGAAAACAGATGATGAGAAAATTCAAATGACATTATTTGTAACAGCCAAAGGGTGAAAACCCAAATGTCCATCAGCTGGTGGCTGGAGAAACAAATTGTCATCAATTCCGTATGGTGGAATATTATTCGGTCATGAAAAGGAGTGGAGTATAGCTTTTGGGTGATTCTTGTGTCAACATAGTTTCATCAGTGGTGACAAATGCACCACTCTGGTGGGGGTTGTTGACACTGGGGGAGGCTGTGCATGAGTCGGGCAGGGGTGTATTAGAAATCTCTGTGCAGACATAGCAAGCAATTTTATGGTTACCAGGGGAAAGGGGGTGGGAAGGGATAAATTTAGGAGTTTGAGATTTTCAAATGTTAATCACTGTATATGAAAATAGATAAAAAACCAATTTCTTCTGTATAGCACAGGGAGCTATATTCAATATCTTGTAATAACCTTTAATGAAAAAGAATATGAAAACAAATACACATATGTATTTGCATGACTGGGACATTATGCTGTACACCAGAAATGAACACATTGTAACTGACTGTACTTCAATTGAAAAACAACAACAACAAAAGAAATCTTTGTACCTTCCTCTCAATTTTGCTGGAAACTTAAAAGTGCAGACAAAAATAACTCCATCACGGACAGCAAACTTTTCCTGTAAAGAGCCAGGTAGTAACTACTTTGTGGGTCCAGGGGCACAATGAGGAAGGATATTATGTAAATACTTAATAAAAGAGAAGACAAATTTCCACACTTTTTTTAAAAAAAAATCAATGCAGTTAAAAATTGAAGATTGGTAACTGAGTGCAATTTGTTACAATACCAATGAAAATGTTTTAGTCTGCTGGGGCTGCCTTAACGAAGTACCACACATTGTGTGGCTTAAGTAGCAGAAATGTCTTGCAGTCAGTCCTGGAGGCCGGAAGTTCGAGATCAAGGTGTCAGCAGTGTTGGATCCCGCTGTATGATTCCACTTATATAACATTCTTGAAATGGCAGAATTTTTTTTGTTATTTTTAACAATTTCTTTAAACTGAAGTGTAGTTAATTTACAATGTTGTGTTAGTTTGAGGTGTACAGCCAAGTGATTCAGTTTTATATACGTATATTCTTTTTGAGATTCTTTTCCATTATAGGTTATTACAAAATATTGAATATAGTTCCCTGTGCTATACGTTATAAACTTATCTATTTTATATATAGTAGTTAGTATCTCTTAATCCCATATTCCAAATTCATCCCTAGTAGATAGTATTTTTGAATTTTTATTTTTATTAAGCACTACATAATACATGAAAAACCTTCTAGCAGGGGTAAGTGAGAACCACCGAGTTGTTTTTCCATCAGTCAGGAAAATGCCTCCTCAGGCAATTGGTGTTCTCCAAATCCTTCAGTACATAGCACCCATTAACCCCAGGGATACGCCTCCCTCTTTCCATCAAAGTCTGCTGAGATGATAAAGGGCAGTCCTTTTTCTCAATAGGGGACCTTCAGATACCTTTGAGTCCAGAGCTGGCCAGGAGCAGGTAGCTGCTGTGTATTGCGGTAGATAGTGTTTTTAATTCCATTTCAAAAGCAAGAGGACAGAGACACAGTGAGGTTGGATAAGGTTCAAGATGGCATTGGTGATTAGTGACAAGCATGCTGTTTGCAGTACCCACACTCTTCACTTTCAGACTGTATGTGAAATGCAGGCGGCCTGAAAAGCCCCTCCGGACACTGGAGGTCTAGGGATGAACCAAAAATAAACATGGCTATGGTTTCTCAAAGGCTTTAAAAGAGCCAGGCATTGCTCTAAGACTTTATATACGAACTCACTTACTCCTCACAGCATATTTACAAGGGGTTGTGCCCATTTTGGTAGATTAGGAATCTAAGTCACTGCAAATTTAAGCCACTTGGCTCAAGGGCCTGGGTAGAATGTGGCACGTGCCTCCGCACATACGGACAGACTGGTATGTGTTGTAGAGACAGCACAGGTCCTGATGGAGCTAAAAAGACAGGTCTGACCCAGCATGTTGACCCTTGAATCCTAAGGGCTAGCAGGAAGGGGCACCTGGCAGAGCAGATGGCATATGCAAAGGCCAGGAGGCAGAATATACTGGGCTCATTTGGTGACAGCTGCACGGATTTGGGGGAGGCAGGGAAAGGCTGAGGGGCCAGTGCCTGCATCAGGGCGCGGGAGAGTAGACCCCCCACCTGGCTGTGGTGTGTAACTGTCCACTTGAGAGGGATGGACACATCTTTCTTCCGGCGCCCCCTCCCGCTTGGAACATCTGGGACATGTGTTGTGCATTCATACATCAGCGGGAAGAAGCGCCCTTACCTCTCTTACCCGCGCAGGATAAAGTGAAGCGAGGGAGGGGCTGCAGGGGGGACCCTGTGGCCAGGAGAAGCCGGAGCTCCCAGAGGTGAGGACCAAGGCTGAGGGCCGGGGTGGGGCTAGGAGTTCTCCGGCTGGAAAGCCTCTACTTCCTCCTCCTCCCTTCTTGCCCTGGCCTATGGCCTTACTGCTGGGCTGGGAAAGGGGAAATTCTTGCGTTTAAAGTCCAGCAGGTGGAAGGTCCTGGGCTAGGACACTTGGGTCCCCGGCGGTGTCCAGAGACATGGCCGGGGCTGGCGGAGGCCTCAGGGCCTGGGGGGGCCTGGTGCTGCTGGTGAGTGCTCCCAGACTCAGGGTAGTGGGGGCGGGGGGTCCTCTGAGAGGAGCAGAGCGGGGCCAACTCCTGGGTCCCAGGAAAGAGGAGGCTGGGGTCCCAGAACTCAGGTCCAGTGTGGGGAGGGACTGATAATTCCCTGGAGAGGAAGCAAGTTTCTAGGTTGGGGGAGATTGCTGGGGAGTGTGACACCTGGGCTCTCAGGCATTGCTACTCTGCGGTGAGAGTGGACTCAGGCTACTGGCAAGACACAGGTAAGCTTACAGAGACTCCGGAGCCTAGGCCCCCAGCCCCCCCTACCCAGACCCGGGGGTCCAAGTCCCCAGCCTTTTCCTTCAGACTGGATGTCTGGCTCCTGGTCCCCAACATCAGTCTCTTCTTTCAGTCCCAGTTTGGTGGTGACTTCCTTGCCTTAGTCTTCTAAGGCTGTATTTTTTCAGGAAGTGAAACCATGAAGTTTCTCTCTCTACCATATCAGTGAAGCCAATCCCAGCTCCTGGGTTCCTGGAGTCCTGCCCCTTCTCCACTCCCCCTGCCCCCAACACAGTGCACACGCAGAGAAGACAGACATACTATGGGATGACCTTTGTCAGAGCCCAGCCTGCGGGAAGAGAGTCTGTGTGCTGTCCCTCCTCTCCTTCAGGCAGTGTGACTCGCAGGGTCTGGGCAGAGGACGGGAGGGTCGCTGGCTGGCAGACTCACTGGGGTCAGGGGAGGTGAGCTTCGGTGTCTGATTCCCCGCCTCTTGGATCTCCCCAGGGCCTGTGCAGCTGGACAGGGGCCAGGGCGGACGGTGAGTGACCCCTGTCTGAGTTCACTGCCCACACAAAGCCATTGCACCCTCAAGTCCCTTGAGCTTCCAGAGGGAGTTCTCCATGGTGGGCACAGCGATCCCCGCCCGGCGCTGACAGAGCTAGTCCTTTCTGGACACGAGGCAGGAACTGGGAGCAGTGGAAGGGACAGTCCTGATCTGCTCCCTGCTCACAGTGAATCCTTCTTCCCCAGTCTCAGTCCCCAGCCCAGTCATAAACCTGACTGTGGAGGCCTGGACCAGCAGCTCCATCACCCTGCGCTGGGAGGCCCCCAGTGGCCTGGACCAGCAGAACTACACCTACTGGGTCCAGTGGACCGGACGAAATAACAAAACCGAGAGCCGGAACACGACAGACACCGTTTTCACAGCGGAGGGACTTGACCCTGGCTCTTCCTATGAATTTTCCGTGTGGGTGGAGAAGGACGGACTCACTAGCTTCAAGAAGACCCTCAAAACCACCACAGGTGAGAGGCAACCACTGTTTTTCTTTCTTTCCTAAAGGAAGGTGGCAAGCAGTGACTGAGAACACGCATGAGAACTCGGCAGGCCCGTAGACCGACAGAAACATACGGGAGCCACGCTTGTGGATCCAAGGTTTCTATCAGCCACAATACATAAGTCAGAACAGGTGAAACCAATTATGAAGAGGTATTTTACTTATCCGAGTAGATCCAAGACAGTATTGCTTCGACATGTAATTGATGAAAGAAAGACAGATGAGCACATTCTAAGTGCTCAAGGGCTCTGTTGAGGGGCTCCCAGTCTCCCACTGGGTTTGTATCTACCCTAATGAGCATTGGGAGGGAATTCCCCCTGTTGCAGATATTCCACTGGAAAGCGCTGGTCTAGATAC